TAAACTCGCGTCTCGAGATGTTCAGCGCAGACTTCAGCAGTTAATGGTAACAGTGAACTTCGCATCGGCACTCCTTTCGTTTGATGTTACAGGTAACCACTGAAACAAAAGTAATTGTAGTTTACCATGCAGATTTTAACAGGTCCAGTATAGTTTCCGTTGAGAATGTAGTTTTTGTTTTAAGTGCTTTGTCTGTTAAAAGTACCTGAGTTACAATTTCGAAACTGAGGTTGATAGGAATGCCGGGGAAAAGATTTTTGACGTCATCACTTACGCGGCACAGTCGTCGTAAATACAGTTGTTCGACCCAACAGTTATGCAATTTAGCGCCCATGCGCTGCAGGTGCAAAGGTACTGTGACCTGGTTGAACGATCCCCTAGGCTACTACAACAAGGAGGCAGTACAACTACGCCATGAGAATTCAGAGACACGAGCTCGCAACCGTATGGTGAAGCTTCGTTTTGAACATAATGAAAGCGAATCAGCGTCAGAAAAATAAATTTATATTAAATGCATATTCTCTTTCCTCGATGCATATTTAAGGGTTTTTATTCCAAAAAAGTAGATCTCAAGTTGCTATCATAGTACGACAATTCATCTTATTTAAATTGCAAAATTCGGATAATTCAGAAAACCAACCCAAAGTTTTGCTATAAAAACAATGATACAATAACAGAACAACCGCAGTGTAGAGCAAAACCTGTAAAAATGCTAGCATTATTGTTCATTTAAGTTTTTCGCTACAACTTTCGGATTTCCAAATTGCAATAATTTAGGAAATTTATCCACTGTACGAGATATTATATACAACGTCCATTGTGATGAATCAGTGAAACTCGCCTTTCTTGCCAGCAACCTATGAAGACAGATCACAGACCCATAAAAATATGAAAATCAAGTTTTTCGTACCCTCTTAAACTCTTGCATGTTGGTTGTGCACAACGGTGTTCCATAGATCTTCATCGAGGTTACGCGTGTTTTTTCCGAACCGCTCAGATTATCAACAATGAACAGCTAAAGTTACAATGGCAGAGATCACCACAATACAGACGTGGTAATCACCTACCTGTAGATTAAGCACATTTTGGTATCGTACGTAACGGAGATTTACCAGCTCTCCCTTCACGACCTGATCTACGGTTAATCTAAAACACAATACGCTTTAAATGTATACTGAAAATCAAACATACTTTGATTTATTAGACTATAGAAATCAAGAAAACAACGTGGATAAATACGTTAGAAAATTTATTAGGTTCGTTTTCTTTGAAAAGCTACGAAGTTAATCAGTACACAACAAGTACCAAAGACTACCAGATAGATACGTACAACAGCAATACAAGAAATTTTTGAGAGATATAGCTTTGGTGTAAGTCAGGTTTCTCATGATCTTCCCTCAGACGTCAATATGAGGAGAAACCAGTGAAACTAGTAGAATCATTCCGCATCTTGAACATTTCTCTGTTGTTTGGTTGCACTGTAAACCGAAGACAGTAGGGAGTTTGTACCGATTTTTGCGTCACCGTCGACTGAATAAGATTTCAGTTTAGATTAGCGTATAAAACTCAAATGAATGAAGGAAAAGTATTATTAATGACAGGTTATTAATGGGATATGCGCGTGCTAAGCCTTCTGCCATTTTTTTCATCGTATCGCGATTCGTTAAAGCGTTGCTCCGCTTTAAAGACAATTGCCAAAAAGAACACGATTAAATACACTGATGAAAGTGCTGAATTCTCAGTTCCAAGCCTGTGAAGAACATAGGCACTATCAGAGACAAGTAGACGCGGGTCAGATACCCAGTGCTAACTTCAGGACGTGGGCGAATAAGTCGCTTTGCTATGTCTGAAAATTCTGCAAAAATTTCAAAATGTAGAAGCAAACCGAGTGAGACGGGAATTTCATAATGGACGGACCTTTCGCTCCAAAACTGTCACTTCTGTGTACGCAGTTGTGCAGTTTTGTTTATACCATTTTTTGGCGCTTTATCAGTGGAGCTTACTGCTTTTCAGGTTCTCAGACTACACTGAAATATACAGTGCGTTTCTAGAACCAACAAAATACTTCAACATAAGAAGCAGTTCCTCAGCTACATAATTCACTAAAATCTCGTTAATTCAAAATTCACGAAACGGAAGAAAAGCTTCTGAATTGCGTAGTGTGGAAGGTTCAAAATCGATGAGAAAAAGTCGAACTACCTATTAAGTAACAGTACAAATACGACGTACAAAGAACGCCAGATTGAATCAATCGAAAATAACACGTGCAAGCTTCAATTTCTGGCTGTCCCTATCACAGCGTATTTTATGACCTAAGTGCTACATCAAAAGAGCAATTTAGCCCCCTCCCCCTCGGCCGAGATCAGTAACCACCTCTTAAAATGGCTTCCAGACTTTCTTCCTGATGCTGCATAAATCCATGTACAATCCAGTGGAAACTGTACGGCAGGATTAGTAGATACAAGAAACATTTTTCCCATAGATTTTGTGTTGAATTACGAATTAGCCAGGTATTTTTATATGAAACTTGTTTGATTCAGACTTGCCTGATCAAAAATTTAAGCTAAAGTTTAGAATCAACCACCACATTTTACGGTTCGAGTTAAACGAATAACGCAGCGACAATCAAATTTCGACGCAATTACTGAATACTTACGATAAAGTTTCTACAGGAACCGTGTTCTCTGCGTCATCGAAACTGAGCACTCTAGGTTGATTGATGAACACTTTAATGGTTTTAGGTCCATTATCTAAATTTCGATTACAGCATAGCAGCAAGCAGACATCACTGTCATTTAGTTTTCGGTCATTTATAATCGATGCTTGAATTTCACCCCTTTCAATACCGCCTTTGCGGTGATCCTAATCTTGCACCAAGATCACAGACCTTCGAAAGCCAGTTATAAAACTCAATCTGCCATTTCGTCTTACCAATCCCCATTGTTTCTACGCTGAGCAATCTTCTCATCAAGAAGTTTAATACAGTAGGTTTGTGAGGCCAAGCTAAAGAAATAATTCGTTCCTATTGGTGTATGACTGAATTTCTCCGGAGATAAAACGTACATATACGTTCCAATCGAAAGTTATTGCTACGATGGGATTAACGAGTAAACGCCCAATTCTTCGTGGTCTGCGACACTAGATGTTACTTAAAGACTAGACCAGAATCTCAAACCTTTCCGTCCCCCAACCAGATCTTGGAAGAGACTACAGCAAATATTCTTGCATCACTTTTACGACGTTACTGAAAAATGACTTCGGATCAACGTCGAAATAAGCAATAAATTAGGTGATATCACATACCTGAAGGTCCTCTGATAACTAACGAATGGAGCTTAACTGGCTGCTCAAACGGTACGGAAATAATAAGCTAAATAAGGAAAATGCTTATGTCTGACAAGCTAGCGTTATTCCTAACATACCTGCTCATCGCAGTCTGATTCCATGTAAAGGGAATCGTCATCATCTAGGCAGTGTACAAAGGGATGACTGGCCACTTCGTTCAAAGCATAGCATTTGTCCTTGACAAAACATGAGTACAGATCAATCTAAAGTTGAACATGTACTATATTCACAATTATTTTACTACAGCCGAATAATAACAGTAAGCACATGAAAACGCGTACTGACATCTATATGCAATGTATTATCCCTGCAGAAATGGCAGCCTTAACGTGGCGGTAGGGTTTGTGTGCCTTAATGATAATCGAAGTTATGCCAGAGGAAGCTTCAGCTTCTAGTATGGCTTCCCATGTTGAGCAGGTCTGAGGTGGGAGGCCAGAATGAATGCAAATAACCACCTAGCCATTATGGTATGTCACAATGAAAATGTTTCTATGCCATTTCGGTCCACGCCCTGATTACCAAGGGTCACGCAGACAGCTGGGGAGCTGAGGGCGTCTGTGATAAGAGAGCGAATAGAACCTGTCTCGCTCTCCCTGCATCTTGGGGATCTAGCGGAATGGCGACGGTGGCCGAAGAAAGGTATATTAGTGAAATCAACAAGAACCTGAGATAAGAAATCGGAAATCAACAAGAACCTGAGATGAGAGATCGGAGATGGCTGACATTTCACGTTATGCAGCTGAACGATAAAGAAAACTCGCTTCGGTTTCAGAATATATCACTCAAGTTATAAGTGTTCTGAAGATGATTTTGAATCAATCAATGGCGTGAAATATGTGATAAAGAAATCAACGGAGTTTGGTGTCCAAAGCACAAGCTACCAAAAGGAACCTTATGCATCTATAGGATCAAATCCATGTCTCATAATGAAAGTAGATTGGAGTAGGTACTTCAATAAGGTATAATCCAAGGCTGTTGAAATCGCGGAATATTTAGTGCAGCAGATCCACTGATCATACAGAAGATATAGGCAAACGACAGAGTTGAATAATTTATTCATGAAAATTTACATGTAAAATAATATTCTACGAGTTAAGCCTCTCTAGTCTAAAAGCTAAGAATGAGAGGCAAGTGAGAGCAGTGTTAACGGAATCTCTTATACACGGAATCGCAGCTTCAAAGACAACAACATCAGCAGGATGATAGCACAACCACAGAGTAGTGAAAATTCCCTTGAGAACCCACATTTCAGGACAGAACATTGTTATCTCAGGATCCCAACTTCCGTTATGTGCCATCTTCAGAAAACGCTTCAAGAACGGTTCGAACTGCCTTGCAGTAGCAGCGTTGTTCAGAGAGAGGAAATGGGAACAAATCGCGATAAAATTTTTGTTTTCTTCAAGTTGACGAAATTGACCTCGAGGACTCAACCTCATTAACTGCCGGAGAAGGAGAAAGCTAGCAAAGATGTGTAGTGCAGAGCCGATCTTTGACCGCACCCCAACCACAAGACGTATTAGCAACTCTACACTTGTAAAGCAGTCGGATTCGAAGAGACGGTTAACGATTAAATCCGATAGCACAAATTCGGTTTCTGAGAGGAAGTCCGGCTTCAAACGATGGAGTATGTTAGCGATGGCTGAGACAGAAACGAGGAAGAAGCCGAAATGGGCGTCGAAGGTTTCGAACGTCCCTGTCAGTAGATGTTCAGCAATGCAATCAACAATTTCCTGATCTGAGCCATCCCAGAAACACGCATAGGGTGCCAGTGCGTGGGACAGAGCCGTTTGTACAGCACGCTGCTGGTCATCGCTGGACACCAAGGTCTTTATGTTGTCTAGGGCACGAATGAAACTTCGCTCCGCGTTGCACACGACGAGTAGATGTGACAGTGGATTCAGCAAAAACACGTTGTGGACTGAGGCTATCCATGTCGTTTCAGATGGCAGCAGTTTCAGATAAGGTGTGACCGCACGGAGGATGTCATCCTCTGGTGCCACGTCAGTCTTGGCCTTCGATAGCCGGCGGCGGCAGATCAACAACAATAAGGCATTTTCGAAGTCGTCGTGATGAAGTCCTACAAACTGCACCACACTGCGACACTGTGGCACAGCGTCAACGACCACGTCATCGTCCGGTAATGGCAAGAGCAGCAGAAACTGCATGGCGATGCGACACCAGCTATGAATGCACAACTTGTTCCGGAGTTCCATCAAAACGCTAATCAACTTTCTTCTGGTTGCCTTGAGCAACTGATCGCCACTGTCGATGGCCACGTTGTACAACTTCCCCATCAGGTCAGCTACGTCGAGGCTCGACCTCAGCTGACATACTGGTGGAAAACGACCCAAAATGTCAGGGAGACGAACGACGTACGGCATTATCTCTCCGATCATATTCGAAACGTCGCCGACTTTCAGAACAGTACTGATCTCGCTCAAATCACGAACAAAATTGCCGTACTGCAAACCATTCTGCCACAAACAGCGCATCTTCATGCTGACAGCATGTTGATCCTGACGTTGCATGCAATTTAATAGTGACGCTCATCAAAATATGAAAAGAAAGCCCATCAGAATCATTAGATTCACATATATAATAGATGGATTATAAAGGGTTTATCTGACTGAATCAGAAACCATCAAAATCAACAATAAAACAGTGAAAAGAAATGAATTTGCCATCGACTCAGATATGGTCAGCTAATGACACAGCGGCGGAAACGCTTAACAGTGAGAAAACGTTTTACATCCGGCAAGACATCCTTCGTTTGGCTCACGATGAGCAATTAAAATCGAAAAAAAACCGAACACAGTGCAGTCATATGCAGTCAATCCCATGTGAAAACGAGACAGCTTACAGAAAATGTCTAACAAGCTGAATGATACAAAAATATTCCTATGATAATTAACATGCACTAAGCAATCTAGCAATCAAAAACACTCATTTACATAACATACTTATGATATACATAATATAAAGACGAATTTTATTACACATTAAGGATATTATTGGATTATAACTCCGAAAATGCCGGCCCCAAGCCCAGATAACAAACTACTTGGGTTAAGGACTTGTCGTCATCGAACATTATACCGGCTCGGATGTCCCCGAATTACCAAGGGCCATGCAGACTGTTGAGGAAATGAGACAAACTGCAAAAAATCGGTTACTAGAACCAGCTTCCTGTCTTCCGAAAGCTGAGACTGGGGTGTAGCAGCAATTCGTCGTTGATTACCGCCCGGTCAAAGCGATATCAGCATAACGAAGTAATTTCTTAGCCATGAAGAAATTTAATGAAACCAAACAAGGTTTAACCCAACTTGATTAATGAGGCACTGACATTCTGGAATGGAGAAACATGCGGATCCGTGTAAAACTGATTTGCTTAGGACGGCAATTTGACTACAAAGGCGAAAGAAACGATGGAAAGTTACTTCTAATATTTGTTCGAAAAGGAAGCACGGTGAAATGTTTATAAGTAAAAAATGCGATCTATGTTTACAACCCATCGTAAGCCAGGTTACGACAACGTGTAAACTCTATAAGCCATTAAACATGAGAGAAAATAGTTTGAGCACCTGATAATAGTAAGATGCACGCTGCATTATTTCGGTGAGCCGGTCGGTTTATCTTCCTTCGTAAAACACAGCATAGAGTGAATAGGGAAGAATTAAGCGCTTATTAATATATCAGGCATATGAACACATATCTGTTAACTTTCGAACGCTTTACAACGGTTAACGCTCAACGACTGAACCTTTCATATTCACACTTTCTATCCATGTTGCAAAGAAGCGATAACTATTCAATTATGGGAGAGCATGGTAGAATGAAGCACATTTTCCTTAGTCTGGACTGTGGTAATGAGGACTGTGATGAATATGAAAGGTTTCGAAAAAATGAGGCTCTGGTGAAGAAAGGTCCTTTACCTATCAAATCAATGCCTGTTTCGACTGCAACAAATGAGACAGGACTACGTGCAACGTCATCTCAAGGTAACGAACAGACTCTACATCTAGAAATAGATAATCCAGTGGTCTGGCAAGGAGTATGCAGAGGTTGTATCTTCTGCTCTACTACCCTCTGAGAATAGCGTTGATACAGAACGATGAATGCTAAAGCATTGTATTCCATTATAACTCAGCTATGAACCTGAAATAGAACACTGGTTTTCATATAACTCTAATCCGCTACCAGCACCTACGAGGCGAGAGTAAAGAATAATGATTTAAAACACGTTGCCACTGAATGGATAATTCTAATGCTGCCTATAGCATAGCAAATTAAAGTTTTTTATAAGGTAAATGAATGGAAACTTCGATCAGATATTTACACATTTTATTCAGAACAACAGCTAGCCACCATTATTGGTGTCGATCATGGAGGCTACTGGACTAATAAAGCACAGTACAGGAATCATTTCTAGGTCAACAGAATCTGTAGTTGGCAGCAGTCACCAGTAACACCGAATTATATCCTGCGAAATAGAGATGAACGCTTATCGAAATGCCAGTTTGAAGTTAACTGATCTGATGGACCTATTATATTATGTGCTGTACAACAAGGCATTTACTTTTGTCACTTGTATTAAAATGCTAAAAATTATTATATTATGTCGAAAACTCGTTCGGATTCGGTGGCTTCTCCTTCATCATTATAAGAGGTAAAAAACCGGTTAAAGACGCAACAAGTATATCGCTCCTGTTTACCCTGAGGATGGTGAATAGTATATGGCCGAAACCCTGGCAGCAAAATAAAGCCTTTTAGTTCATTCTTCAGGATTTGCTTATAACCAATAAACCTCTACAGCTTGTATTATATATAATGCTGTCTGAACATAGGCTCAGGATGCCAAAGAAAATCTTTGGCGAATTTTAACTGTAAGGCAGACTGCCAAAGGACAGCCCAAGTGTCAGATGACGACTATATCGAACATCGCCACTGTAGTACCTTGTAATCCAGCTGCTACAATTCAAAGCCTACCTACGAGACAGATGACCGACATGATTTTTGAGAAACCTACTGAGGCTGTTGCCACCTTTCTGTGAAACAAGCAGTGGACCATGAATATGGAACAACGCTATTAACTATATGATACAACTATAACAACACAGGTATAACCAAAACAGAAACAATAGCAAAATAACAATGAGTCAATATATAAACTTGCCTGTCCGGGATCAGGACATTCGTGACCGGCCTCAGCCGCCGAGCTACCAGAGATCCCAATCCAGTGTTTCACTTTGCCCTCAAGCCCCGTTCTGGAGGCACCGACCAACATATCTACTTTTGTGCCATTCTGAAAAAACAGGAAAGCTGGCATTGCATAGA